CAAATTCATGGCAGAATATGCTCAGGGCAGAACTATTCAACAGATTTACAGCCATCGGATCACCCATAAAATTATTAATGGCTTCTACAAAGACCTTTATGGCCTTGCAAAACCTTATCTGCATTCTCAAACTCCGCAAAATAAAGGAATTTATTTCATTTAGAAAACACATCTGCTACTGTTTAGAGTGGGAAAAAAAAGTTACAAGACACATTATGAATGTTGCAGAGGGCAGTCATTTGGAAATAGTGCTTGCACAGCGCTGGAATCTTATAGTCTGGAATTACTATCGTTTTCAGGCTCAGAATGCTTCACGTTGATCCGCTGAGATAGTTTCCTCTTAACGGTTTCAGCTGCTGGCTTGAAGCACAGTTCCCTGTGGAAAGTGTCAATTACTTGTTCTAAGCGTCAAGCTTGCTCTTGAGAGTGTGTTGTACAATGGTGGCTGTCTGCCTCAGCGCTCTTTAGACCTAACAGAAAAATCAATGGGTCAGGTATTAATAGCAACTGCACTAGCTGCTGCAACCAATTACATTCCTTCTTTCGTTTTTGAATGCTGAAGCTGATTGGATGTCAAAGCAAAACATCACCTTTCTCTCCAAAGACCTGAAATCGATAAACTAGTGATTTTCAAAATGAGCGGCATTCATTAAAATACATGCACAATGGAGCTGGCAGGATTAAACTGAAAATTCAGATTTTTAGTTTTAGATTGAGTAAAGTAAAGAAAAGTTTGAGCCTCTGTCGGGTTTTTACTGCTGAGGTTCCAAGATTAACTCTCATTTTCTATCCTTGTGACCCCTATCACATGGAGAGAAAACAAGGACAGGCTGAAAGGCTTCAAAAGGTATGTAAATTGCCTACATGAAACAGGGGAGTGAAAATTTTTGAAAAAACAACTTGTCCAGGGACTAAATCGGTGTCCCAATCTACTTGTCCCTCATGAAAATCTACATGTCCTGATAAAAAAAATAAATTTTAACCAAAACCATGTTTAAATCAGAGGTGCTTTATGGAATGTCTGGGGCTTTTAAAAACGAAGGGGCTTTATTGCAACTTAAACGTTTAATATTTTTAACATTGAGCTGTTTATCTCCTCCTCCCCTCCCTGCCTGTCTCCAGCACCGCACCTGGGGACTAGCAGGGAGGAGAGAGACCTTGCAGTGTAATGAGCAGCGATTGGCTGCTTGTCAGGAAAGCGAGTGTCGGGCTTACCCTTTATCCCTTTCGCTGCCAGAGCTGTATTTTGCACACATTTAGGCCTGATTCTTACACAAAACTCCAAAACGTGATATATTTTCTGAAATCAGAGACCCTAGAGAATAAAATGGCGGTAGTTCCAATTTTTTATGTTACACGGTATTATCACAAAGGTAATATACAAAATGTAAAAGACGAGGTTGCATTGAGTAAATAGATATCCAACATGTCAAACCTTAAATTTGAGCTGAGTTGCAACCTACCTTTGCACCCCCCAGCCACACCCCAGCTCTGCATCCCACATCTGCAACTTACCCCTGCACCCTGTCTGTGGCTCATATCTGCACCCTGTCTGAAACTCACCTGTCAAGTCTCCCCTGCAACACCTGACTACAGCTCACAACTGTCATCAGCCGGCCCTCTCCATAGTAATCCTCATCCACAACTTCCTGCAGCTCACCTCTGCACCCCCTGTCCACATCTGGACATTTAAAAAAATAAGACCTATCCCGAAAATAAGACCTAGTGTGTTTTTTTTCAGCCAAAAACTATAAGACATCTTATTTTTGGGGAAACACGCTAGATATCGGAAAATGGAACCATGGCACAGTGGAGGGGCACAGGCATCTGACACTCCAGAAGGCATCAAATGCCAAAGAAAACTGGTGGAAGCTGTAATGCTGGAGTGGAGGAGGTCAGAGACATGGACAGTATATTACCTGCTCACTTGCAGGGACCTTTTGGCTACCTTTTTCTTAGAACTTCACAGTTGCTTTAACATGAAAATATATATTCGATGATATGTCTTCTTTAGTTGAAGTCTTCCCTGTGCAAATGCCAAAACTGGTGAGTGATCAGGTAGGTCAAATATTTCATGACTGAATGATGATTCTTGCTCTGAATCAGAGAATGGTAATGCAAGACCAAAATGGTTTCTCCAACATGTCTCCATACAGAGATGCTTATCGCTGCTCAAGGTAGAGAGACTCCCAATCTCCAAGCACAACTCCTCCTGTAGGTGCTAGCCCAACTCGTGTGCTGAATAGATCAGAACAAAGGACATCCGATCGGCTGCACTCCAAGCAATCCACTTTACTGAACCAAAATAAAACCAATACAGACAGTGGAAATACAGTGGGGGACTGGCAGGTAAATGCATTTCATGCTAAAGACAGCGCTTATTTTTATCTTGGTTCAATAAATTGGATTGTATGGAGTGAAGCTGATCGGACGTCCTTTGTTCTCATGTCTCCATACAGCATGGGCACGGCAAACAGTTGCCAGCAGTAAGTAGCATCAAATTGTTTTCTTGTTAATAGACATTCTAATACAATCATCCAACAGTACTGTAAGTGTACAGTGGGGATCGAAAGTTTGGGCACCCCAGCTAAAAATTTGTATTAATGTGCATAAAGAAGCCAAGGAAAGATGGAAAAATCTCCAAAAGGCATCAAATTACAGATTAGACATTCTTATAATATGTCAACAAAAGTTAGATTTTATTTCCATCATTTACACTTTCAAAATAACAGAAAAAAAAAAAATGGCGTCTGCAAAAGTTTGGGCACCCTGCAGAGTTAATATCTTGTACTGCCCCCTTTGGCAAGTATCACAGCTTGTAAACGCTTTTTGTAGCCAGCCAAGAGTCTTTCAATTCTTGTTTGAGGTATCTTTGCCCATTCTTCCTTACAAAAATCTTCCAGTTCTTTGAGATTTCTGGGCTGTCTATCACGCACTGCTCTTTTAAGGTCTATCCATAGATTTTCAATTATGTTGAGGTCAGGAGATTGTGAAGGCCATGGCAAAACCTTCAGTTTACGCCTCTTGATGTAATCCCCCGTGGATTTCGAGGTGTGCTTAGGATCATTATCCATTTGTAGAAGCCATCCTCTCTTTAACTTCAGCTTTTTCACAGATGGCATCAAGTTACCATCCAAAATTTGCTGACATTTTATTGAATCCATTTTTCCTTCTACTCGTGAGATGTTTCCTGTGCCACTGGCTGCAACACAACCCCAAAGCGTGATTGATCCAACCCCATGCTTAACAGTTGGACAGAGGTTCTTTTCATTAAATTCTGTGCCCCTTCTCCAAATGTACCTTTGCTCATTCCGGCTAAAAAGTTCAATTTTAACCTCATCGGTCCACAGAAATTGTTTCCAAAATGCATCAGGCTTGTCTATATGTTCATTTGCAAAGTTCAAACGATGATTTTTGTGGTGAGGACGTACAAGAGGTTTTCTTCTGATGACTCTTCCATGAAGATCATATTTGTACAAGTATCTCTTTATAGTGGAATAGTGTACCACAACTCCAGTGTCTGCCAGATCTTTCTGGAGGGATCGTGCAGTCAAACGTGGGTTTTGAATTGTTTTTCTCACAATCCTGCGAGCTGTTCTGTCTGATATTTTTCTTTGTCTTACAGATCTTGCTTTAACTTCCACTGTTCCTGATGACTGCCATTTCTTAATTACATTCCAAACAGAGGATATTGACATCTGAAAACGCTTTGCTATCTTCTTATAGCCTTCTCCAGCTTTGTGAGCGTCAACTATTTTCAGTTTCAGTTTTCTAGACAACTGCTTAGAAGAACCCAAGGTGCTGATTGTTGGGGCAAGGTCAGATGAGTCTGGGCATTTAAAACCTTTGAGATTGACATAACCTGGTCTTCCCAGACGATGATTGAGAACAATCCATGACACGGGCAGGTCTCAGCTTTGCAAAGGGGGCAGTGCATGCTATAAATTCTGCAGGGTGCCCAAACTTTTGCAGACGCCATTTTTTTGTTTTCTGTTATTTTGAAAGTGTAAATGATGGAAATAAAATCTAACTTTTGTTGACATATTATAAGAATGTCTAATCTGTAATTTGATGCCTTTTAGAGATTTTTACATCTTTCCTTGGCTTTTTTTTATGCACATTAATACAAATTTTTAGCTGGGGTGCCCAAACTTTCGATCCCCACTGTATATCACACAAACATACAGTATGAACAGAAAAAAACTGCTGCCCTCAAGTACATGATCCTGACTCCGATGTTTAAAAAAGAGAGTCATAAACCTGTAACATATGACTAGAATAGGCAGGCTATGTCCATAAACACCTATTATTGTAAATCATTACCTTGAGTATAATAAATAAAAAAGGGCACAAAGAAAAGAGCTCTCGGACAAATGATTCATACAGTATATAGTACCATTAAGGAAAACAGCCATAGACTGTTATCTGTGTCTTAGGTCACCCACATTCCCTACAAGGGTGGCTAGAACATGCCTAGAGGTCTGTGTAAATAATATGGAACAATCCACAAATTTGCAAGCTTGGAATTGCTGAGGTTCCAATGTTATTTTAACCACTTGCCTACTGGGCACTTATACCTCCTTTACCAGGCCAATTTTCAGCTTTCAGCGCTGTTGCACTTTGAATGACAATTGTGCGGTCATGCAAGATTGTACCAATATGAAATTTTTATAATTTTTTTCTCACAAATAGGGCTTTTCTTTGGTGGTATTTAATCGCCGCTGGGTGCTTTACTTTTTTGCGCTGTAAAACAAAAAAATTGCAAACAAAAGTGAATAAAAAAAGTTTCTTTGTTTCTATTATAAAATTTTTCAAACAGGTAATTTTTCTCCTTCACTGATGTGCGTTGATGAGGCAGCACGGATGGGCACTGACAGGCAGCACTGATGGGCACTGATAGACAGCACTAAAGAGGTGGCACGGATAGGCGGCACTGATAGGCAGCACGAATGAGGTGGCACTGATAGGTGGCACTGATGATGGGTACTGATAGACAGTACTGATAGGTGGCACTGACTGGCATCACTGCTGGGCTCTGACTGGCAGCACTGATAGGCATTGACTGGCGCAACTGCTGGGCACTGACTGGCACAACCGCTGGACACTGACACTGACTGGTGGCACTGACTGGCAGCACTGCTGGGCTACACTGATGGGCACTGGTAGGTGGCACTGCTGAGCACAGGTGTGTGGCACTGCTGGGTGGCACTGGTGGGCACACTGCTGGGCACCGATCATCAGGGCACTGATCATCACTGCCCTGATGATCGGTGCCGATCCCTGCTCTGACAACTGCCGGTTCTCGGCAGTACTTTCCTCGAGCTTTGACAGAGCAAGGAAAGTGCAGCTGAGAACAGGCAACTGCATTTCCTGGTGATCAGCATGTCAATGGACATGGCTGATCACGTGGTAAAAGGCCGCTGTGATTGGCCTTTTACCACATCATGTGATCAGCTCTGTCTGTAGGAGACTGCATTCTGGGAGGACGTCATATGACACCCTCCCAGAACTGGCCGGCCGCAGTGTAGCCGTCATTTGGCCATCTGCGGTTGGCAAGTAGTTAATAGCGATAGGAGGTGAAAGGCGTAGAGAGCAAGATGAATAGGAGGGTAAGAAAAGATTCAAAAGGAGTTTTCGAAAGCAGGCCATACATGGGTCAAATTCCGAATGAATTTTCTTTAGAAAATCAGAAATTTTGTGCATTTTTTAATCTGATGTTGCCACCCATGATTTCGAAATTTAACCAACCAAGCCTTTAATTTCACCTCATGCTGCTACAGAAAAAATTTTTTGTGGCCAAGAATTTTCTTTTCTTTCCAGGTCACAGCTCATGCTCATTTCCTTTTCGATTACATTTCTCGCACGATTCTCTCATCATTAGTTGGAATTTTTTTTAAAAACGAATGAATTTCTAACATGCCCGATCACTCAAATTTGATGGTTGCTCGAAAAATCGGCCATTGCTGTGGCCCACTAATGGTGCAAAATTCAAACGAAAACTCTTTCGGAATTTGACCTGTGTATGGCCGGCTTTAGCTGTGTGATTGCTCTCTCCCCCATCAGCACTTGATGGCATCCACAGACATGAGACTTTATTCCAATCCAACTGGAAAGGAGTTGCCTTGAATAAAATGTTTTCAGAGAAACAACGAAACAATTATTGCGGCCTCTTCTAGTCACCTGGCTGTCATGGTGTCTCTCTTGCGTCATTAAAGTGTATGTAAACTCTCATCTTGTAAAACAACTCTGTTTAAAATAGAAATGAAAGGCAAAGACAGTCTGCTTTTTCCTATGGGTGGTCGGATGGAAACGTACCACCTGTCTGTTTCCACCCGGATGTCATCCGATCCACTGGATGGATGGGGAATGGAACCCCATCCATCTGTTTTTGGCGTACAGGATCGGATTGGATGCCGGCTTGGCACAATAGATGTGGCTAAACCAGTTTGCTTAAAGTATATGTATACCCCCACCAACCCATACAGTTTACAATGGAAATGAAGGGTAAAGCATTTGTGTATAGATATAAAAAATATTAGAAATACCTTTTTATCCACTTTCTTTTTATCACATTTCCTCAGTTCTCAGCTGCACACAGACAAAACAGATGTTTTTTTTGCATGGTATTCTCACATCGACTATGAGAGTGCTACTAAGGATACGAAAATGCTCGTAGGATCCAGAACAACTTCCTGTGTGTGTAACAATGTAACAGCGTGTAATCATAAGTGATTGCCACACCTTAGCTATACCCCTTAAGAATGTTGTTTGTTCTTAACCTTCTTACTTCCGGGTTGTATTTGTGTTTCCAATCATGCGTGGTCTTGGTCACGCAACTTTTTGTGAACGAATACTATACTGATTATATGAAAATCGTTTGATCTGTTATCTTACCAGAAACATTTTTGTGCTTGTCCCTTTGGATTATTTTGCATGAACTATCGTGGTCAGCTCTAAAAGCTGTGCGCTAAGAATTAGATTATTAGATGAACACTCTGATTGCGATTTTTTTCTGTCCGATTTTCTCATTGTGTGTACCAGGCATTACAGATGGGTATGGGGTGAGGCTCATCAGGATAAGGACATGACAGCACATTCATGGGACTGGCACATTAATAAAATATGACCAAATACTTTATTACTTCACCAGCTTCAGTGATTATTTTTAATCTATCCTTCTCAGCTCAGGAAGCCCCCAATTCTCAAGAGAAGCTTTTCATTCTGCAAATTTAATTTTATTCCACATGAAAAAAATAAACAAACATACTTCAGATGGGAAATTTTCATTTGTGAAAAGTAAGAGTTTAAATACAGCACTGTTTAAGGGGACTATTATTTTTAATTGGTTGGTTTATATTAAAGAGCCATAAACCACTTTCCCAAACACACATAGGGAGGTGTCACAGGTTTACCTGAAACTTAGTTCCTCTTGTTATTCTCATCTTAGGCTGCTGCAGGTCTCACAGATGACATTTCATTTATAGGGAGGGTTTGGCCGAGTAACCTTCCTCCTTATTAGACCTAATGATGACTTTAGAGATAAGATCTCCAAACAATAGTTTCCTACAATTCACATGTAAGTGCAGCGCTAAAGCATACGTGACAAATGCAATCATAAAGTGCTCATGTGAATAGAAGTGTTCATACAATAAAAACATCTCAGATCTCTATAGTACACGTGCCCCTGAAGACATGAATGCACGTGAAACGCGTTGGATGAGCCTTACATGCTGACGTCACGCTACCGCACCCGAAGTTCCGAGCGGTGGAAATCTTTGTATGCTTTTATGCATTTAACTCTTTGCTGTATCCACGTGGATTACTTTTAACTATTTACAAAAAATACTACACTATATTGACATACCTTCGGCTCCTGTGGTGAGTTTCTCCCCCTCGGACAGTGGTCGGCAAGCCGCGGCTCGCGAGCCACATGCGGCTCTTTACACGCTTTAATGCGGCTCTTGTGTGCCGGGCGCCCGCTCCCCTCCCTCCTCTTGGGCGGCAGGGACTCTGCAGCGTGATCCAAAAAAAAAAAAAACAGCCAGGGCAGCGCGCTCAAATGCAATGATTGGCCAGTCTCGCTGCCACTCACATCCTGATAGCCAGTGATTGGCTGTCAGGATGTGTGTAAGTGGGGCAGCGTGACGAATGTGAGAGGAGCTAGGCTCCTCTCACAGTCCGCCCTGAAGACCGGAACGACGTGGGAACACGGCGAGAGGAACGCGCGGAGCAAAGGTAAGTGAATTGACACAGGGGGGACTTGGCTTACTACTTGCTACTTACTACTACTATATGAGGGATGAATTAATATGGGGGATGAATTACTATATGGGGATGAATTACTATGGGGGATGAATTACTATGTGGGGGATGAATTACTATATGGGGGATGAATTACTATAGGGGGGGGGGGGGGGTGAATTACTATAGGGGGGATGAATTACTATAGGGGGGGGGGGAATTACTATAGGGGGGATGAATTACTATAGGGGGGGATGAATTACTATATGGGGGATGAATTACTATATGGGGGATGAATTACTATAGGGGGATGAATTACTATGGGGGATGAATTACTATATGGGGGATGAATTACTATAGGGGGGATGAATTACTATATGGGGATGAATTACTATATGGGGGATGAATTACTATATGGGGGATGAATTACTATGGGGGATGATCTACTATAAAAAAACTTATTGAAACTAAAAACAGTGTACCATCCTATGTATTTTCAGTTTTAAAAATGTGGCTCTCAAAATAAATTTCAATTGTGGTTTTGGCGAGATTTGGCTCAGTTGAAAAAAAAGGTTGCCCACCACTGCCCTAGGAGGATCCTTTGCTGGCTTTGCATAGCCCTGACCCTGGAGAAGTCTGGTTCCTATTTATGGCTTCCTAAGACCCCCCGTAAGGATCAGCATTAACGTGATTATACAAGTAGCGTTCTGGTGAGTGCTCATCCATATAAGGCGGTGGATTCCCATGCTGGATCATTTGCACTCTCGAGCATCCCAGTTGGTATCACTGCACCTTGTAGTTCCATGATCACCGGGCATTGCTGTGACCTGTAGTGCCACGGACTATGTATAATCACTAATATTGCTAAAAAGCACACACCTATCACTTGGCACTTCTGTGACCTGTAGTACCACAGATTATTTATATTCATTATGCTCAGATTTTTAGAGTTTTTTTATGATTCTATGATTTGAGACATTTTTATTGTATGAACACTTCTATTCACATAAGCACTCTATGATTGCATTTGTCACTTATGCTTTAGCGCTGCGCTTACATTTGAATTGATTACTTCGGGTCTGTTACCTTGCCTTTTGTGCTAGCAGCTACCATATTATCTGTGCTTGCCTTATATCTTGTGTTATATCAATAGTTTCCTACAGCTCAGCGTCTCATCCCTGCGACATCGCGGGGTGGATTTACTCTGCAGATGCAGTTGTTCAAGAGCTTGAAAAATGAAGTAAAGCTTCACTTTGCAAAGAATACCCAATCCCATGCAAGGAAAATGTTTTAAAAAACAGCATTTTGCTTGCACATGATTGGATGGTCATCAAAGCTTCTGCTCATTTACTAAGCTCTGGAGCGGGGGTCAGGAACCAGTAGATCTCGGCCAGGTGACTGGTAGATCGAGGACTGGGCTTGCTGACCCACCATCCCAGAGCATCAAACAGAGTGCAATGCAGAGGGACTACCTGTAAAGTTGAAGTTGTAGTAGGCCGATGCCTCCTCCTCTGTAGTGCCGGCTCCTGTCCCATGCGGAGTGATATCAACTGCTTTCCACCTCTTATCCCAGCTAGCGGACTCCAGGGTGGTGCCAAGAGTAGGAAAGAAGAGATCTTCAGGTGAGTGTGAAGCAATACACTGGGCAAAATAATATAGGGCTGCTTTCACACTGATGTGCATTGGTTTACCTACACTGCGACTTTCCTGCGGCATTGCTACGCTTAGCCATAGACTGTGTGGTGCACTTTCTGAAAGTACACCAAAACTCCTCCATTCAGGAGTTTTGGTGTGCTTTCAGAAAGTGTACCACACCTGCAGGATATAATACAAAGTGGTATCAAAAAGTTTCAAGACCAGTTTTGTAACACATCAACAGCACACACAGTCACAGAGAGCACCGACCTTCATAAGTCAGTGTGCCAAAAGACATTGTCCCGTGTGCAACTGGTGCTATTCTGACCACGTGTGTTACCATGTCTGCTATTTCATCATGGACAGCAAGTTAGAACAAACAGCAAACATGAGGTTCTGCGTGAAACTGGGCAAATATACCACAGAGACGTTTGACATGATTCTGCAAGTTTACAGGGAAGTTGCAATAAATCGTTCAAGAAGTTTTGAATGGCATATGCACTTCAAGAGCAGAAGAACATCGCTGGAAGATGATGAGAGACCAGGAAGACCTTCAACGAGTTCAACCCCTGAAAATGCCCTCTACCGAAAGAAGAAGATCCAAGT